TATACATACATACATACATACATACATACATACATACATACATACATACATACATACATACATACATACATACATACATACATACATACATACATACATACATACATACATACATACATACATACATACATACATACATACATACATACATACATACATACATACATACACACACACACGCACGCACACACAATAATTAAATTGTCAAAGGCAACAAACAACCATAATGGCCTCACCTTAGCATCATATTTCAAACAGAAAGTATATATATATAGGGCAGTTTCCCTGCACTGAACACAGCACGATAAACTACGTCATCAGTGAAGATTGCCCCCTCAAAAATAATTAATAGAAGTAAATTTTGGCCGGGTGAAATTGAGCCTTCGCATATGTCAAAATGTCAAGCGAGAGCCCATTGGTTCGGCCATATTTCGTAATCGCGAAAGATTTTGAGAAAAACTTTGCTGTAAAACCTATCTTCGTGTCGAGAGAGAAGGAATGCAATCTCTACCTTTTAGAAGAAAGGTGCCAAAGAAGAGTTTTGATATCTGCCGGCAATGGAACACGAGCACCATGGCTGCCGAAGTAGACAGAGGTCTGCTCAGCTCTCTCAAAGGCAATGTTATATATATGTGTGTGTGCGTATTGGGTCCTCAAAAAATGGGCTCGAGCCGGCCTTGTTTCTTTGAGCAATGGAGTTTAATTCTATTTCAGGAGTATTTACCTTTTAAAGGAGGTGTGGTTGTGCTTAAAATACATCTACAAAGCATCAATTTTAAATCATATTAATAGTTTTCCTTGACAATGAAAATAAAAAGCACATAAACTGATTTCATGTTACCTTTGTGCAAATCTTAGTCTTCTAGAAATTTCACTATGCCAAAGAAATTACAGGAAAATAAAGAGTAACATATTTGAATGCGGCCTTGCTACCTTTTATCAATGCAATTTGAATCATATTGCACAAGTTGACTATCAAATATAACTTCTACATTGCTTCAATAAAAAAATAAATAAAGATTTCCTTTTCTACTTAACTAATCATTTGACATATTTCACTTAATTATACCTACATTTCTAAAAACCAAATGCACCAACTTTTAGAAGTCCTAATGAAATTCTACTTGAAAGTATAATGTGCTTCAAGGTTCCTACACTTCCTAGCAACATTATTGAAATAAAAAATGAGGATATGAATATACATATATGTGTGTGTGTGTGTGTGAGTGTGTGAGTGTGTGTGTACTCCTTTTGTGCCATATCTTTCTTTATGTTGCACAAAACAAAGAAAAATCCCAAGTTTTTGTCAGTCTATTTTATTTAAATTTTGGTATAGAAATAAAAAATAAAACTTACATATTTAAAAACTACATCAAAAGATCAATGAAACAAGTGGTGACAAGAATATTTTATTGTATCATATAGGTCATGAAAAACACATAAATAAAAGTTCCAGTGAAGTTGGAATAGTGCTCTATAAAGAAAGATACGGGACAAAGGGAGTATGTGTGTGTGTGAAGCAGATTAAAAACTACACATAATACTCATTGAGTCATTGGATTTCATTTTATTTCAAGCAACAACCACAAAATAAAGTTATTAGAGAAAACGTACATAGTCAACACGATTAGAACGAGCCACCGGCATGCATTGCTCCTCGTCCAATGAGCAGGCCTTCGGAAGATGGGGAAGCAAAACGAAAAAGTGTGGAATTCTCTATGAAGTAGAGAAGGGCTTGCCAATTAGGGTCCTTCAGCTCTTTCCCCGCTTTGAATGTCATCACATATTCACATAAGCAACAAATCCCGTGTAGAAAGCCTAGTAAACAGGTCTTTTGCTAGCAACATCCTCATAATACCAGATGAAATCAACTTTTTCACAGAGATTACAGAGGAACCCATTCATATACTTCTGGCCCAGATAGCTAACCCCATCAAGCCAATTTGGTATAAGGATTCCGGTACTCCTGGTTTATGAAAAGAGTGTAAAGGAAGGAAGTTTCATTGTCCCATTCCAAGTCACCCAGCAGCTTTCCCACCATTACCAGGGAACCTTTCGAGTTGTTCATGAAGAGGATTGAGTGGAACTGCGGCGGCCAGAGGGTAGTTCCATGCTTGAATCGATCGAGGGGATGAATAAATAAGTGGCAAACAGAATGATGAAAAGACTGAGAAATTTGTGTTAGCCTAAAACTTACATTTTATACCAGTCCTGGTAGTGTCGAGATCTAGGTTTTGGTTGTTCCAGATCTAGCGGTAGCCGAAGGTGCAGGTGTTCGAGATCTAGCGATGGCGGCGAGGCGATGATATTCCCGAAGTCGATTCAGCGCGCTAAGCAGGGGCTGATTTCCGATGGTATTACCTACGACGGTAAGGGGCTTGGCAACCAAATCGGAAACTGCGTGAGAGGGCAACAACGAGAGTTGAGGATGTTTCTGGACAACGCGTTTGGGTTTCCCGTCGACGACGCAGATAGGGTTTCCCAGTTGACGGCAAGGTCGAACATCGCGCGAGAAAGGGAAGAAATTGACGTGGGGCTTTTGTAATTTGGGATCGGGAATTTCTTTTTCAGGTTTTGGGCTTTAGTTTTTAAATTACGTTCCTTGTTCACTTTTGAGTAGAACTTTAGAAGTTGTTTACTTCATTTAATTGTATGGTCTAAATGAATCTTAATCGGATTGAATATGTATCTTGTTCATTTTTTAGTAAATATCAAATTCAGATAGAAATCTTGACGGAGACTAAGGCCTTGTTTGGAGATTAGCAGTTAGTGGTTGGCTGTTGGCTGTTTGTGTTGGCTGATTTGACTGGCAGTTTGAATTAGCAGTTTTGACCGGCTGATTGTATTGGCTGTTAAAGAAAACTTGTTTGGCAAATTCAGTTACCCATAAACAGCTGTTGGTAGTGAAAATTACATTTTTAGACATCCCTCCATATATGTAAAAATTAATTTGTTATTGTAATGAGTTTAATTTTTTAAAGTTTGATAAAAATACCAAATTATATAAACAAATAACGTGCTTGAAACTGGATTGCGCAGTTGAAAATTTTGAGAATTACATTTATTGGTGTAGTTTCTTTTGCTTTGTTCAACATGAAAAATAATATGAATAATTCTTTTTTGTTAAATATGTGTGGAACTCCACTAAAAAAAGTATACAATATTTTCAATCTCTTGAGTCATACCATACGGAGTATGGATGTACGAAAGGGAAAATAAATAAATTACTCCAAGATGCCAATGAAAATGCTGCAGTGATTAGCTTTTCAAATTTCAGCAGTTTGAATCCAAAAGCCAATCTTAAAAGCCACGTTCCAAACATTACTTTTGGCTGTTTTGACTAGTCAAAACTGCCATATATGGTCAAACAGCCAAATATGGGCTGAAAAGCCAATTACCAAACAAGACCTAAAAATAAAAAAATGTATCTGCATCCATCAGATACCGGATATATCCATATCTATTTTCAATTGTTAAAGTCAAATTGAACAATATTTTAATTTCAAATTAAATTAAAGTCAAAATATTATTCATTTAATTTCAATTTGTTACGGAGTAATTCTATCTAATTTTTTGTAATTTATGCGGAGTAATATTCTACGACAGCTCCATATGGGTCAAAAGATATCCACATGACACGTACACACATTTTTTATGTGTCTACATATATATTTTACATATAAAAATATCTTATACTTAAAAATATCAATAGAAAAATAAAATATAAAAATAAAAAATTAGAAAAAAACTATATACAACAAATCGGATACACGGATAGAGGATTACTTAAACGAATGTTTATGCAGAGTGGATATAAAGAGATCGGATGTATGATTATCAAATCTGTATCTGTTTATCAATCAGATGTCCTTAATTAGATACGGATAATAACTGTTTTTAACAGATGCGGATATTTTCCGTATAAACGAATGCGGATGCGGACGATAATTGAATTTTCAGTTATTCATTTACAGTCGTATTTAATTGCTTCTTACTCAATAATTAATTTTATTAGATTTCGAGAGTCGGGTTGTAGAAGAAAAAAGAAAAAAGCAATGATCAATCATGCATATAATCAAAGATTAAAAAAAGATACTTCGTGCATTCATTCTAACACAATAGAAAAACATCTATAGTCATTTTTTACGTAGATTAGTCGGGTCTAAATCATAAAAGGTTGTAAATTAATATTTAATAATTTGAGTATCATCTGCATCTGTATATGTTTAGATGGAAAATATCTACATTCAATTGGAACAAATATTATCTAACATCTGAATAACAATATCCGGTTGGTGGACGAATGCAAATTTGGTAATCATAGATCCGATCTTTTTAAAATATGATCTGTATGTGCATCCTTTTAACTAATTGATTATTAGATAATTTGATCTATTATACCCATTACATGACTTATGTGTATAATAATTCCCATATTAAGAGTAATAAATACGGAGTAATAAACTATATACTACATTTGCCTAGGGTAATTTACCTAAGTAGGGCTAAAACATAATGAATTTCTCAATATATGACCATATGTTTTTATTTCTCAATGTAGAACCATTGGTCATTATCTATTAGTCATTATTCAACTAAATGTCCAGCATCATTTAGACATTATTCTTCTCACTAGTCATTATTGAGTCCTATTTAGGGAATAAAAAAATTTAAAACTTTAAGTCCTTTATTAAGAATTGATTTATGTTTTAGTCCTATTCAGTGCAAATTTTACCATTTGCCTATTTTATTTATGACTTGTTTTTTGGATGCCTGAAAGACTATCACTTTATAATTGACAACTAGACAAAAATAATTATCGATTACTTTTTCTTTTTAAGTAATTGGTTGGTTACATATTTATATATTTTGTTCACGTCATTTATTTTGGTTAAGTATTCACTATTTAGAAGGCCGTTTTTACAACATATTCAGATGTTATCTAGTATTACACATTCAGATTTTTTAATGATTTGACTATTATTCTTAAATAGTTTTGGATATTTGGTTGCGAATTTGGATGTTTTAAAATGTAATCATATTTTAATTAGATACAAATATATCCAAATTCAGGGAATACGTGTTGGATTCGAATTTGAATATGACATTGTAAATATTTGTCGGATACAAATTCGAGTATAGCATAATCAGATTTGGATATGGCATATCCAAAACGGATATTATCCATTTACATATTTATCTCTTGGATACTTTTTATATATCACAATGGATAAAGACTTTACGCTAAGAGAAAAGGGGGAGTGGCAACTCATTGTGAAGACCAAAAAGGCCAATTGCTTTGAAAATCAACTTTGGGATGTTTTTATTTTTAGGCTTTTACATGTTCTCCCTTTCTTTGTACGTGGCCTAACATGGACCCAACCAATGCAATCTGGGATATCATGCTCTTGCCATCTTATTTCTCGAAGAGTTACATGAAGAACTTCTTAGTTGCTTTCCACGTTGGCACAAATAATCGGTACAAATATCTTGAAAATAAGATTGTGCCAAGATAATTTTAGTCATGAAGGCCTCTTCTCGGATGTTCATCTCATCTTCTTTGAGTGGTTGGTCTATGTTCGTATGTTCTCTATGTGGACTTCTTATTGCAACATATTGGTCTTTTACTCAAGATCGTATGTCTTTAGCATCTTATTATTTTCATGATCTTGTTGTGAAAGCCAGCGGTTTGCTTATGCATGGACCTCTTCAGCTTTCATGCATAATCCGCCTTAATGATACCAAATCATTATTGCACATGCCGGAAGACGAGCGCGACATGACGACTACAATATTAAATAACATGGACCAAATTTTGATGAGAACGAATGGGCAGGATTAGGCAGCATTTGGATATTTTTTGGCCAACAAGGAATCAAACTTTGAAAACGGAAAACAAATTTCATTTTTCGACAAACCCGGAGTTCGAAATAAAAAATTACTTTTCTTTTCCCACGAAAAGCGGAGGTGGAGAACTTATTGATGAGAATAAATTCAAGGTTAGCCGAGTCAACAACGTGGACACCTCTTTCAATAAGATGGTGGCTGGGTCTTATTGCCAAGGTCGAGGGTGTAAGAAAGGTGTTTCGCAAAATAATTGTCCAATATAGTTGTATAGTATGGACTATGACTCATGAATAAGGTATTATTCATTTATTCACATGTCAGGCCAAAGACATACCCAGATAACCTATCTTAAATATGGGAACCACCTAAGCTACGCCAATAGCTCGAGGATGATGGGTTATTAATATATGAATTAGGTGTGTGGCAATTCAACTTCAAGGAATAACACAAAAATGGATTATGGTAGATCGAATGGGTGCCCACCTAATCGGTGATTAGTTTAAAGAGTATGATTCAACAACTACAATCCAAGAAACCTATTAAATCAGAAATATGTTGTGAGTTCAAAGGATCCAATTTCGAGCACTCAATATAATCACGTACTCTCTTATGTATACTCACTCTCTATAAAATATTACTCTCTCCGTCCTAAAACTTTCTTCTCAGTTTGACTTTTCTCCATTTTTAATTTTTGGCATTGACTTCAAATTTTACCCTCCTTAAAAAAGATTTTTTGATTTTTTTTTGCAATCATTCAAAATATAGAGTTAGAAGATAATTGGTGTAAATACATGAGGGTATTACTGTCATTTGTCATCTTTTTTTCTAATGTGAAGGTAGTTTTAGGACGGAGAAAAAGGAGAAGTGAGAAGAAAGTTTTAGGACGAAGAGAGTAATTACAACTAGACTACAATTTTGTTATTCAGAACCGTTAAGTGATTTATGTTCTTATTTTTGGTAACTAGTCTCTCGGTATGGCTTTATCATTCTAGGTTGAGAGGATATTTTGGGAGTGTGGTAGATTGTTGAAAAAACAAAAATTTTAATCAAAGCACAAAACAAATATTTTGAACTTTACTTAAAAGTTTAAGCACTTTTAGAGCACATTATAGACTGCAGAAGTCATAATTTATAAACAAAAATAAATTGATAAACACGACAAACAATATTTTAATAAAGCAAAAGATCATAAATAATTTTTAAACGTAACCCCAACACTCTCTCAGTCTAGAAATACCGTACTACCTCCGTTCCAGTATATTTTTCCAGTTTGACTTTTTCGAGTCAAACTGGACAAACTTTGAACTCTAATTACTCTCAATTTATATTGCATATTAGCATAATGAAATAGAATTTTGAAAGATCTCAATACAATAAATCTAATAAAGTCATTTTTATGTTAAAATACATTACAATTTTTATTTAATTGAATCTCAAAATTTATCCAATTTAATTCAAAAAAGTTAAACTGGACAAATACACTGGGACCGAGGGTAATTGCCAAAATCAAAATTAAGCATTACCATTTCGCCACATTGAACCTAAAATTAAAGGGCTGTTTGTTTCAGCCTATTAATGGTTCAGATGTCTGAATGGTTCAACACTTAATGGTTCAGACTGTTTGTTTCAGCCTCTTAATGGTTCAGATGTCTGAATGGTTAAGAGCTTTGCCTCTGAATGGTTAAGTATTATACAAAGTCTGAATGGTTGAGACCTCTTATCTGAATTGATCAGACATTTACCTCTGAACAGTTAAGCAATATACTAGCTCTTAATGGTTCAGACCTCTTACTGGTTCAGCATGGTTCAGACCTCTTACTGGTTCAGCACTCACCTGCCATACTTCGTCCAATTTCGTGCTGTAAGGGAAATGCATCCATTAAACTTAAAAAAACGGTCAAACACGTCTTCCTTGCTTGAGCATTTCCCCCCTACCCGCCGACCTGCTCTCCGTTTGAATCAGAAGCCGTCCGGTCCGACCCGTCTCTTACGGGAGAAGGAAAGAACAACGATGGAATAGAAATGGAGTCAGAGCAGTAGAGAGAGACTCCATTGTCAGATTTCTCTTTACACTTGTACATACACCTCGCATCTCCGCATGTACTATGCATGATCGAGAAAAGACTTTCTTTTTTTCTGTAAATCTGCGAATCCAATTCGAATAATCCGACCTCGTATGATCCGATCGTTTCCGTTTCATCATCGTCCCCGCGAGTTAGCGCTGTGATTTCGCAATGTCATGGGGTTTGGGGTGGAAGCGTCCCTCGGATGTCTTTCACCTGACTCTGAGCTACGGCACAGACGATGTCATTGATGAAGCCACGCCGACTTCATCGCGATCGTCCTCTGTGGCGTCGCCTTTTGCCTCATCTCCGAAGGCGTCTTTTCAGGAGGGAGAGGATCTGCAGCAGGTAGGGTTTAGGGTTGACTTGGATTGGAATGCTGGTGATGATGAGGATCAGGTGGCGCTGAAGCTCCAGTCCCAGGTCATGGTGGCACTGCCTTCGCCGCAGGACACTGTCGAGATTGAATTGAAGGAGATGGGCAGTGAGGGGAACAGTGGAAATGGTGGTGAAGGGGAGGTAGGGGTGGAAATGAGGGTGATGAAAAGGAGAGATCCCTTGAAAGGGGTCATAATGTGGAGGACTGGGGGTTCTGGCCAGCAGATTGATGGAATGGGCGTGTTATTAAAGCTGATGCGGTCAAATTTCTCTAATGGAGCGGGGCTGGGTGCTGGTGGGGAAGCTTTAGTCGGTTACGCTGAGCATTGGAGGAGTGTCACTGTTGTCAGCCTCTCCGGCATTGGACTAACAGTGAGAGACTTTTCCCTGTGTTTGCTTGTTGTCCTTAGGGATGCTTTTACCTCGTATTCGAATGCACTTATGACCTAACATTTATAAGGGAACTACCATTCTTATTAACCGTTGCCTTGATGTTAAAGTAACTTGGTGACCGAATACTAACTCATAAGAAATTTGAGGGGAATGTTTTTCAGTTATCTAATGCTTTTTTGGAAGAATAAGACACTTGCAACATTGAACTTCGTGGGGGTGGAGAATGGAATAGATTACTCCGTGTTTAGTATTGGTCTGATTCAATAAAGAAGTCATTCTTTAATTTGTAGGACATGGACACATGTATATATCTATTTATAAATAATCAACAAGGATTTGTTTGAAATATACTGTAAACTTTATATGCATTTAAATAAGTTACACTACCTTCATCATGAAATTATGTTCCTCTTTCGGTTTAAATGAAGTTTGACCTTCCGAACGGTAACTAGTAACATAATTTTGGGACACAGGGAGTAAGAAATATGATCCGCATTTTTTTCAATGTGGTATAACCATATAAGAAAAGAAAATTTGAAGGGATCAAAAAGAAAAAGTGGGACTAACATAGTGAGGCGGGGGAGTAATTTTAAAGATAAAATTAGTGGCTATTTACCTGAAGGCTTTGCTTCCGGGGTTAGTTTAATTTGATCAACCAGTCTCTAACAGCTATGCCATCTACAGGGGTTGCCTGTAGAAATAAGCAAATTGCCTCTCCTTGAAAGGCTCTACCTTGAAAACAACAAGCTTTCAACATTGCCGTCTGAGCTAGGTGAGCTGAAGAACCTGAAAGTTCTAGCTGTTGACGGCAACATGTTGATCTCAGTCCCTGGTAAGCTTTGAACAACATTGGTTAGTAATTGATTTTTACATGTAGCTCTCATTGCAATTGCAAATGTGTCAAGTTACTGAGATGAAAAAGAAAAGAAAAGAAAAAGTTCTATGTGTTTGAACTGTGAAGGCCTATTCGTTTGCTTTTGTTATTTTACTTTCTTTTTTGTGCTTTGGAAACATGACTAGTTGAGTTGAGACAATGTGTTGGAATGGTTGAGCTGTCACTTGAACACAACAAGTTGGTTAGGCCGCTTCTTGATTTCAGGTCTTTCTATCAACTTTCGTAATATATTCCATTTACACACGTGGTAAACTATACATCAATTCATTCTTGAGGTCTAATGTTTTTCTTCAGCTCAATGACAGGGCTATGACTGAGCTTCGTGTTCTGAGGCTATTTGGTAATCCTCTAGAATTTCTTCCTGACATATTACCACTGCACAATTTGCGCCACTTATCTCTTGCCAATATTAGGATTGTGGCAGATGATCATTTAAGATCTGTAAATGTGCAGATAGAGGTAATGATCATCATTTCTGAGCTTTGTTTCTTCTCCTTTTCTCCACTCATCACTTTGGCTTCATGAGCTGGCAATACAAATTTCTTGAACTCATTGCAGATGGAGAATACTTCTTATTTTGTTGCTTCTCGACATAAACTCAGTGCCTTCTTCTCTCTTATATTCCGCTTTTCTTCTTGTCACCATCCTCTGCTAGCATCTGCCTTGGCAAAGATAATGCGAGATGAGGGAAATCGTATAGTTGTTGGAAAAGATGAGAATGCTGTGAGGCAGCTCATAAGCATGATAACTAGTGAAAATCAACATGTGGTATGATAGCTTAAATTCCCAGAAAGAATACTTTTGATTTAATTTTCTTCAAATATGTGGTCTAATTGATTGCCGTTTGGTCAGGTAGAACAAGCTTGTTCTGCACTTACATATCTTGCCTCAGATGTCTCAGTGGCAATGCAATTAATGAAGTCGGATATCATGCAACCTATTGAAAGAGTACTTAGATCTTCTGGGCCTGAGGAAGTTATATCTGTTTTGCAAGTTTTGGCAAAGTTGGCATTTGCATCTGATACCGTATCTCAAAAAATGTTGACCAAGGATGTATTAAGATCGTTGAAACTATTATGTGCTCATAAAAATCCAGAGGTAAGACTTAATGATAGTAGGCATTTAAATGCATTTTTCTATTGGCTAGTCCAAATCAGCTCTTGTTTAGCTGAATAAAATTTGTTATTGCTGGTTAGGTACAAAGGTTAGCTTTATTTGCAGTTGGTAATTTAGCTTTCAGCTTGGAAAACCGGCGTGTGCTTGTTATGTCAGAAAGCTTGAGGGAACTTCTTTTGCGTCTGACAGCTTCATCTGAGTCAAACGTGAGTAAGGCTGCAGCCCGAGCTCTAGCAATCCTAGGTCGGTTTGTGAAAACGATATATTGTTATATTTGGAATCTCATTTTTGAATCTTGTGGAGTTTACATCTCTCTTCATCAGGAGAGAATGAGGTTTTACGGCGCGCTATTCGAGTCAGGCAAGTGCCCAAGCAGGGTTTACGCATCCTTTCAATGGATGGTGGCGGCATGAAAGGCCTGGCAACTGTAAGAATTCTTAAAGAAATTGAGAGAGGCACTGGGAAACGAATACATGAGCTGTTTGACCTTATCTGTGGCACATCAACTGGTGGCATGCTTGCAGTTGCTCTTGGAATCAAGCTCATGTCTTTGGAGCAGTGTGAAGAGATATATAAGGACCTTGGTTAGTTCTCTATGCTAGGCCTCTTCATTATTTTTTTGTTCTTTTGATTAGTAAGGGACATGCAACCTCTTGCTCACTATATCCCTCCTCACATCCCCTTTGCAATGTAATTTGCAGGTAAGCTCGTGTTTGCTGAACCTGTTCCAAAGGACAATGAAGCAGCATCTTGGAGAGAAAGGCTGGATCAACTCTACAAGAGCTCATCTCAGAGTTTCCGAGTTGTTGTACACGGATCTAAAGTACGTGAGACACTGCATTTTCCTATTTGCTTTCTTTTAATGCAAGTGGAATTGGCTTTTACTTATTTAATGTTTTTTAAAAAAGATATAGTGAAAAAATATATTTACTCCCCCAATTGTTTGCATCTTGTGGCAGTTGCCAAATCAGTCTTTTATTAGGCCAAATATGTGCACTTATAGGAATTTTATTAAGCCATGTAAACTTCCATTATCACGTTTTCTAACCTATATTGTGAAGGTTAAATCTGCATTACATCATTACATTTTTCCCTCACATGTTTTTAGAGCCTTACAACCCAATAATCTTCTCAGTCTCCAAATTTTCACAAACCCATGTGTATTTAATGAAGTACTAACCTATAATTAACAGCCCATCTCAAGTAAATATAATGTTATCCTTATACTCCCACCTTCCCCAAATAAAATTCTCAATTTCCTTTTTCGTCCATCCTAAAATAAACTTCCCACTTCCTTTCTTTCCATAAAAGGAAATGAATGAGTGGTTAATAACATTTTTCTCTTCTAAACAAATTATATTCACATATTTTTTATTTTTCAATAACTTAAACTCCGTGAAGTTAAACTAGAACTTTTATTTGGGGATGGTGGGAGTAATATATATCTCTGTTCCCAGTGCATTTGTGGGCTGGCTTTATCAGCACAAATGTGCGTGAGGAAGCAGAAAAAAGTAGTTTGAGCCGCAAGACTTTTTATCGCTGCTATAGTGAGTGGTGAGTAGATACCACAGTAGAAATATAGGTTCCTTATTTTAATGTTCATTTCTTAGCGTGGATGTAACATTTGGAAAGAAATTGTGGAGACTTTGATTGCATGGGAACAAAATGGATATGGGTTTCAGATTCACATACATTTTGTGGTCTTTTTATTTTACACTCGTATTTTGACACTCTTAAATTGGGTATCTATGAAAAGCAAATGGAAATTCGCATAGGGGTTATTTCAAGGACCATAAGAGTTAGAATTTTGTAACTTAATTTAATTAGTTTGCAAGTGTCTACTGCGAGAGACTAAATTGACCAAATATGAACAGTTGAGGAAATACAACGGCATTTTTTCTAGACTATAATAGTATCTGATTCTTTAATTGTTAAAATCAGAATTCTGTGTGTGCTATTACTACTGTATGTATTGAATAATGATTAAAAGTTATAAGGTGAATGGCATAATCATTTTTTATTGTGTTATTTCATGGGGAAGTTGTGCCAAGGAATGGTAGTAATAGGCTTTGGGATGAAATCACCGTGATTTATTCACATCTTGAAATTCTGATACCATATCATGTTCTTCCAGCACAGTGCCGATCAGTTTGAGAGATTGCTAAGGGAGATGTGTGCTGATGATGATGGAGATCTTCTCATAGAGTCAGCAGTGAAAGGAATTCCTAAAGTTTTTGTGGTATCAACACTGGTCAGCATGTCACCTGCTCAACCCTTCATATTTCGAAATTATCAGGTGTGAGATAATACATATGGATTATCATTTATGACCTAACGATCCACAAGTCAATCACATAGTATGCTTATGAAGTTTCATCATTTTAAATGCAGTACCCCCCTGGTACGCCAGAGGCTTCTCTTGTAAACACAGAGAATATAGGAACAGGAGGTGTGGGAGCTGCTACTACTGGTGCTCAAGTTGGATTCAAGCGTAATGCATTTATTGGAAGCTGCAAGCATCACATCTGGCAAGCCATACGTGCATCATCTGCTGCACCATATTATCTTGATGATTTTTCTGATGGTAACTAGCTATATGTTTGCATAAAATGAGTTACTGGCTATCTCTCCTGAATTTGATTATTTAGTACTCCTTTCGTCCAAAAATAGTCTTCTATCATCATGGTACTATCTTTTAAATTTACTAAGGTACAACTCTTCTATATTATCCCCCACACTTACATGTCTAAGTTTATTTATTTGCTCAACTAAATGTAGCATACTTAACTTCTTTGGGAATTGGGAAAATGCTCTTGGAAAACGATTGCCTTAAATTCAATTAAAATGTTGAAGTATGACTCTTTTTTGGGCAAGAAAAAGCTTTTAAACAAGGCTTCCTTTTTGTGGGAGGGGAGGGAGCAGAGGTAGTAGATTTTTAATGAACACATTTTTGCTATTTCTTAAAATTTTAATTTCTACAGGTGTGTATCGCTGGCAGGATGGTGCTATTGTGGCAAATAATCCTACTATTTTAGCAATACGAGAAGCACAACTGTTATGGCCAGACGCAAGAATTGACTGCTTAGTTTCAATTGGATGTGGTTCTGTTCCGACAAAGGTATATTGTCACATATTAAATGCCTCTTAAGGTCTCAAATTAAATAAGCATGCTATTTCTCCTTTTTTGGGCATTTTAACTTCCTAGTATGTTTCCAGACTTGAGTTGTATCACTTATAATAGTGATTTAAGTTCATTTAAGGACTGGTCTTTTTCAAATAAGCAATCTGAAATATAAGTGAGCAAATTGTCTTGAAATTTATCCTGGAAGTATCAAGTATGTGATGTGTTTGTAGAATTGCAGTATACTGATCTATATTAATGAAGTTGCCAAATTAGTTAATTTAAAATTCTTCATTTATTGCAACTTTTTTTAGCATTTGTTTGCTTTCATAATCAGTATGTGATTTGATGTGCCAGGATATACTATATAGGACGGAGTATTTACAACAATATTAGTGTGCTCTTACGATGCGTTGATAAAACTTTGGCTGAATATAATATATATAACCCCGTACTAGTTGATGCTATTTCATTTTGTTGAGTATGGAGATACTATGAGTTTAGCTGAAACAATATACTGTATACGTTAGTAGTAGTATAAGAGTCAGTTATAGGATTGTATGTACTCTGTATTACTATGATGATGTTGAAGTAAAGACAGCTCAAATAGCGGCCTAGGATTGCCCTTGGGTATTTGGGTTTCTTAATTATCTTTGACATCTTTCTACTCTAAGTATTCACTTGTTTGCTTGTTTCAATTTATCTGCTCTCTCAGGTCAGAAAAGGTGGATGGAGATATCTGGATACTGGTCAAGTGTTGATCGAGAGCGCATGCTCTGTTGATCGAGTGGAGGAAACTTTGAGTACACTGCTTCCTATGCTTCCTGATGTGCATTATTTTCGTTTCAATCCAGGTGAAGCTAATGGTTATAGATTCGGTGGGGTTAATATTAGATGATAAAGACCATTTTATTTGAGTATTAATACTTCAAATTTTCAATGGACCAAAACTTTGTGTCTTACATTAGTCACATGCATTGCTGTGGTGAGCAACTTTTCACTCCCGCCACAATTTGATGCCTCCAGTGAAGTGCCTTTAGTTTTTTATTTTAAATTTTCTTCTTATATATTGCTCCGTAATTATTAATGCAACATACAAATATGGAGTACTTTTTTAATTTTTTGTTTTAAAAGTGTCTTCATATCGATGCATCAGATCCAAAGGCTAGATTTTTTTCTTATTTCTTTCACCAAGGTGCATTCTCACGTGAACTGGACCCTATATATATATATGTATATGTATATATTATTTGTATGATTAAATTTATATTCCGAATATATTTGTCAAACTCACGAATCTTATACCCTTGATTCATATTCGTATTCGTTAAGGATTCGAATATTTATTCAGATTCATATTCGGATTTGAAAAAATCAAATACGAATCACCTCATACGAATACGAATCACGAACCGAACTAAAAATATTCTATTCATTTACGACCCTACTCCGTACTCACTGCCTAAACAGAGGGTCAAATGGTAGATACCAGGAGTTTACTTTTAGCGCCATGACTTTGTGACCCAGCATTTTTTTGGCATTGCCGTTTTATAACGAGCAGTTTAAACATGTATGCAGTTGATGAGCGCTGTGATATGGAGCTTGATGAGACAGATCCTGCTGTTTGGTTGAAATTGGAGGCTGCCACTGATGACTACATGCAAAATACATCTGCAGCTTTCAAAAATCTCTTTGAAAGATTGTTAGCAAGCCCACATGATGAGAAGCTATCCAATAGCTTGAATTCTCAACGTTTCAACAAAGAAAAGAATGAAAAAGCTGGTATTATGTTTTGTGGATTTTTTCTAGTTCTTCCTCTGTCTAAAAATAGTGTGCTCTGAAAACGTGTTTTTTTCAAATTTAGAGTCTTATTAAATCAAAATAAATTAATTTTCATTATATGTAATGCATATAACGGAATAAAGCAAAATAAGTTTGGAGTCCATCTCCGATGGAGGCAAAGATTCACTATTTTGTAGCTTTGAGGTAATGGGTATGATGGAATAAAGCAAAATGGCTCTTTACACTGTCTGATCTTCTTTTAATAAAGTAGCAGTTAGTCAGTGCAACTTTTGACGCTCATCATGGGTTATTCAGAAACAGCCGCTCTATGTTTTAAACATAGCGGTCAGGCTGCATACATGATTACCTGTGGTGCTTGAGCCGGGGGTCTCTTTTGAAACAACCTCTTTACGTTCGAGTAGGGGTAAGGTCTTCGTACACACACCCTCCCCAGACCCAACTTTTGTGGGATTCAACTGGGTTGTTTTCGTTGTGTTGTTGTATACATAATGCATTTTAGGTGTTGTTGTATACATAACGCATTTTAGCTTAACCAACAAATAATTTTTAAAATAAAGTCAGAGTTGATTACTTCGTATTAGTTGCAGATGTTTGTACCTTACTAGAGTTAAAATATTGAACCCTGGTGAAACAAGATTTTTTTGGGAACAGGGGTTGTCGTAGCTGTTTAGGTTTTATTGATGAAAACAAAATTTTGCATTTATTGTTTTCTTTACTTGTGGTATTTATGGTTTCAGATGAGAGTAGCCCCTCCTTAGGTTGGAGGAGGAGTATCCTCCTTGTGGAGGCTACCAACAGTCCAGATTCTGGAAGAGTGTTCCAACATGCTCGCTCACTTGAATCATTTTGCACCACAAACGGAATAAGGCTATCTGTTTTCAATGGTATATCGGGAACTGTTAAAGCCACAGGATCAAGTTTCCCAACACCCTTTGCATCGCCTTTATTCACTGGGAGCTTCCCATCAAGCCCTCGCTTATACAGTCCTGATTTTGGGCATCATAGGGTTGGTAGAATCGATTTAGTGCCACCATTAAGCTTGGATGAGGTTCAATCTGGAAAAGCAGTTGTATCACCTCCTGATTCACCTGCTAAATGCCATAATCTTTCTTTGCCCATTCTCTCATTGCACCAAAAACTACAGAATTCGCCTCAGGTTGGTGTCGTGCACATGGCCCTGCAAAATGACATGTATGGCTCCATAATAAGGTTAGAGATGTCATCACTGTGTACTTCTTTAACCTCATATTTCTTTGGTTCAAAAAGAGATGAGGTGTGGAGAGCAGAAGAGTTAAAAGACCTGCTACTTCCCTAAAAAAGTCTTGTTTCTAACACTTTCTGGTCTAAAAGGCTCTATTTGATCAAACAAAGCTAATTTTTACATGCAAATTGTCAAAAAGAGCCACATTCTAGTTACCTATGATAAATTTAACCAATCCAATTTATACATTAAAAAATATGATTATGAATCCTGATTTATGATAATTGTACCTAACCAGAATTAAAGTGTTGTTATCTCCAAAGGAAATTAAAGTGTTGTACATTGGTCAAACACTACTTTTTTTAACTGATGAAGCACTATTTTGTTTCAAAGGAGTGGGGAGAAATTAGCACGGAGTATATTAAAAGAATATGCAAAGATAATGCACTTGATAGGGTAATATTGTAATTAAAATGATAGTCTATATGTATGTAAGACAATAATGATCTAGAACACTGAGATTCTTAGAAAACAAGCCAAATGAAACAAAGAAATAAGCTTTCCTGGATGACTGACATTTTATTAAATTTTATATACTGTAGTTGGCAGAATGATGTATTTGTGGTAGCCGAGCCAGGAGAGCTTGCAGAGAAATTCCTAAAGAGTGTCAAATTCAGCCTGTTGTCAATGCTGCGAGGAAGGAAGAGGAAATATGCATCGGCCATCACTGGTATCTCAACTGTCGCTGATCTGGTATCGTGCAGACCGTTCTTCCAAATTGGAGGTGTTGTTCACCGTTATATAGGGCGACAAACTCAAGTATTCCTTCTTTCAGTAGCACCTACCTACCTTTTATTATTGGGGGAAAACCGGGTCAATTACACTTTGCACCCTGACACCCTCACAAAGCGCATTCGAATAAGTACACCCTTGAAACCAGATTTCTAACTCCTTTTCCACACTCAATCATAGTTTTTGCCAAAAAAGAGAAAAAATCTAGAATATATGGGCACTTTCGTCTAGAATAGTTTGATCATCAAACGAGAAGATTGAGTAAAGAGAATTCAATCTTGATTTATAGGAAATAAAACAATTGATCGATAGCAAGCAAATTCAAGAATAGCAGTTGAGAATTGCGGAGCTGACTGATTGAATAGGATGCTCTGAAAATCAAAGAATCAATTAATTAATTAAAATAAAGGCACAAACACATATCTCAGCTCCAAGTTTCTCGAGAACAACACAGAGATAAACTGGCGCACCGGCACCGAGATGCTCAGCATACTTTATGGACTTGAGGAATCAGGCAACCCTATTGACATGGATCTGGAGTCCAGTCTTTGTAGATCATTGCACCGATTTCACAGCCTTTAGCTTAACATAGTTGGAAAGCCTATGCCATGGGAACCCCACCGTTTTTGCTTTGTGCTGCAGTATGTGTTGATTACACATATGATTTTACAATAATGTCTATATAGGGTTCCAGCAATCAGCATGAAGATGGCAAAAGTAGGATTAAAACCGAGCATTTCCTAGATGAAAGCGCCCCTCGACTCGGGGTTTTTCCCTTTTTGTGCTGAGAATAGGGTTGATGGTGGAAAGTGACATGGAAAAATGATTTCAAGAGTGTACTTAACCATATGTGTTTTTGAGGGTGTAAAGTGAGAAATATACCTATTCGGAGGGTGCAAAGTGTTATTGACCCGGAAAAACCATCTGTCTTTTGTTAGTTCAATATAGTTAATGCTTGTTTTTTCCCTCCTGAAGGTCATGGAAGATGACCGAGAGATTGGTGCATTCATGTTTCGCAGAACAGTTCCTTCCATACACTTGACCCCAGACGATGTTCGGTGGATGGTATGCTATCTCATAGTATTCCTTGTTTTGTTTTTATACACCCTTTTTCAGTTTTCACAATGCTACACAGTACACACACAATGTGACACTCACACACACACATGTATGCTGCATTTAGATATATACTCCGCATAGATAGGTGTATGCTGATGCATTTTGCTTGTTCAACTATACTCTATTACCAATTGCTACATTTATGAATTGCATAAAGTGTAAATTTTGTTTCAAATTTAAAAGCCCGTCTGATGATGGTAGACTTGGGCTGTAATGGTTGAATTTTCAGGAACTATATACCCTGGAGTGTGAATTAGCTGAATTATGTGAAAGTTTATTTAAAATACATTTTAAATAGATTAAAGCCCAGACCCTACTCTTGTGGGATCCAACTGGGTTGTTGCTGTTGTTGTTTAAATAGATTAAAAATAATACTATCTCTGCAATGCAAGTAGCAGTGTTATCTCCTTTTATCAGTTCCATTTCGATTTTAAAAAAAAGAGTACTTCTGTGCTACTTTTTTGTCTATATTTTGTCAATTCAGCTGACACATTCAAATAAGTTAGGGTCAGTTGGGACTTGGGGTTGAAGTTTTTGGAGGGTCAACTCTACATAGATATACATTTGTGACTTTATTTAAACTAAAGTAATAGCATATTATGTTATCCTATAAGTATAACATTTCAACCACCATTCGTTTATTTGCATACATATATTCCATTTATCAAACTGAACAAGTTGATAATAATAATGATAATTATATGATTTTTTCTCCACTCTTGTTATGAGTGGTTTACTCAAGATGTACCTGGTTCCAAGAAACAATGATAATTAGTGTTACCAAACAAGTACTGTGCATGATACGTTTCTTCTTTCAAAATTTCCAGGTTGGAGCCTGGAGGGACAGGATTATAATCTTCACTGGCATTTATGGTCCTACACAGTCTTTAATAAAGGCATTTCTAGACTCCGGTGCTAAAGCCGTCATATGCCCTTCCGCTGAGCCTGACGAAACACAGTCATCAACCTTTCACGGTTCCGGAGAGTTCAATGCCGTAGAAAACGGTAGGTTTGAGATAGGAGATGAAGAAATGGAAGACGAAGAAGAAGATAGCGAGCCGTCCAGCCCAGGCAGCGACTGGGAAGATAGCGACCCCGAGAGAAATGGTCGCGCGAATAATAATTCTATATGGGACGACGACGAAGGGCAGTTGTGTCATTTCATGTGTGAGCTGTACAATTCTCTGTTCCAGGGGGGTTCGAGAATAGATGATGCGTTAAAGCTCTCTCTCGCCTCACATCGGACTCTGAGGTATTCCTGCCATCTTCCCCCCACTGTGTATTACTAACTATATTAATTAACATCATACATTGGGATTGGTAGGCCTCTATACTTGTTTACAAGGAACACCATTCTACTTTTTTTTGTTCAAAAGACGAACAAAGGAAAGGGCCATTTGAGGTCAGTAAAGAATAGAAGGAAAAAAAATGACAATACAGAAAGAGATAGATATACAAGAAGAGAGAAAGAGAGAAATAATTGGTTCATTTTGAGTAATGAACGATGATTAGTAAAGTGAATAAGAGATTTTCTTCTTTGTACTATTCTTTTAGTGAACTTAGAGCATGTTTGATGATGATATATACATATAATATTGTTCCAATTTAACCACCGAGTTCTTGGTAAGACGCGCCCCCGAAGCGTCGCTATTTGGGTACTTGAGAGTGTTCTGCAACCGAAATCCTTTGTATAATTGGGGAAAGCTTGTGTTTTTCCTTTCCTGTCCCCGTCCCTATATGTTTGGTTACCCATTCCCGCCTCCGCTCAGACCGCTGGTAGAGGCAGGATCAATATTTCGGGTTGCGACCGCACTGAATCGTGACCAAAGTTATCGCCTCAAGAAGGAAAAGATTTAGAGGAGGTGTAAAGTTACACAATCCTCATATGATACCATCATGTCACCTTTCCAATTAGGGTATCTATGTTGCTCCGTATATAAAATTGACGGTTTCTACCTCCCTAACTTTTCTAACCCTCCTCCCCCACATACACACACAGCAATTTCACCCCACCCCTTGTCCCCCACCCTGGATTCACCTGTTTGCCTGCATTGGTTTTTTTCGGGACCAATAAAAAATGCATGTGACTAATAAAAATTATACTCCGTATTTCATTATACTCCATTCTTCTTTACACTATGTTTGCCGGATTGGTTCAAAGAAGAAGAAAATGAAAAGATAAATCTTACTACCTCCGTTCCATTTTATAACGCCTGTTTCGGTTTACGATGTTTGACTGAAATTATTTTCAAACCATTTTATATGACAAATGGTATAGAATTAAAAAATAAAAATTACATATTAAAAAACTACATCAAAAGATCTACAAAACTAGTAGTGACAATAATATTTTATTTTATTAACTTGCTAACGAAAATAGAGAAAGAAAGTGAATGAAGTTTGACCCTGTGAATAGTAAACATGCATTATAATTTGGGACGGAGGGAGTACTAAAATTAGTAAAATGAAGGGAGAAAGATCAAAATAGGACTAAAACATTGAAAATATACCAAAATAAAACTTCCATATTTTTTTTCCCAAAATAGGACTTAAAATGTAATTACATTACCAAACATGGTCATGTATATTACCAAAGGTATAGTAATGTGCACTTGTACAGTGCCACATTACCACAGTGTGAGGTCCTATTTCGGGGAAAAAACATAAAAGTCTTATTTTGATACTTTTCTCTATGTTTTAGTTCTATTTACGGTGATTTCTATAAAATGAAAGAAACTTTTTTCTCTTTTAATTTATTTTGTCTTCTTATCTTCTTTTTTTCACTTTTCTTTTCTTCTCTAAATACCAAGAAAAAATAATTTTTCATGTCATTTTTGTTATTTACCCTTTCAAATTTTTTGAACCAAATATATTGCTAATCTTTTCCTTTGATTTTACATGTAGTTTTTATGTGCTTACATTACGTTTTAGAAAGAAAAAAACGTCATTAAAATTTAGGTAGATGATAAAGGAGTGATATGAATCTAAGAGCACCGGCAATGACAAAGAAAAAACTAGAATGCCACATGTTGACGTGGAACATTTCAACTAATAAAAAATAGTTCAGTCATCGTGTGGTAAGAGCGTGGAGTGGCATGCATTGCAGTGGCAAGTCATTATCTTTGTCACTTTTTTACATTTTTTATATTTAATTATTAAAATTTATTTTATTTAATTTTTTTCATAAAATAATTCTACTTTGTTTATACTCTCTCCGTTCCCAAAAATGTCGTAGTTACTATTTTAGATTTTTGATAACATTTTTTGTGCTTCCTTTTTAATGGTATATTGAATAAAAAAATTATTTTTATCACTGCTTATTTTGTAAAATTTTTTATGTTATTTTTAAATATGGTGTAATTTATAATTTTTATTTTCTTACTAATTTGTATATATAAAATTAATTTAAAAAAGATAATATCACATTATTCAAAAGAGAACAAATATTTTGGGATGAAGTGATGAGTGCAAAAAAAAAAGAAAAAAAGAAAAAAAATGGATGCCATTGCCTTGTACATGGCTTGCAATGCGTGTAAAATTTCCCTTGCCACGCAATGAACAGTACATATTTTGGTGATATGGCAGGGCGAGGCATGGGAAAACCTCGCCAATGCTCGTGCTCTAATAAATCTTTCCTTAAAAACAATACTAATATTAATAGATAGTCTTTTATCCATAATTATACGATATTATATTCATATTCTTTAAGTAATGCTCTAGCCGCTGGAATTCAGTGCCACTTGATTTTCTTGTTCCGTTGATTGATTGAGTAATGCAGTTTTTTCCTTTGAAAAAATACTCCCTCCAATCTAAGTAAGGCTTCCGTTTAGTTTATGATATTTATCTAAAATTATTTTCAGATTAACATAAGTAAAAATTGTTTTTGAATTAAAAATGAATATTGCATATTACTCTGCAAAAAACTACATTAAAATTATACAAAATAAGTAGTGACAAAGTTATTTTGATTTATGAAATGATCGATAGAATTAGTTTGACTTGTAAATAGTACTAGTAATTTTTTTTCCGGCCGGAAGGATTATATATTACGCTTTGCAATGGTAGATCCAAGAGAAAAAAAAGATATCTCAAAGATCTGAAATAGTTTTTTTAAAATAACACAATATAAAAAATACTACGTATCAATTAAGGCACCGAGTCCAAGTAATGCCTAACTGGTTCCGGCCCTTAAAGCTAGGATCACCCCGAATATAACCCCAACTTTCATCATTTTCTTACAAATATTCGACATTAAAACGTTCGGTATCTTTCAACATGTTTCTAATTAGGGGTGAGCGTGGTACGGTATGATATGGTATTTAGCTCGTACCAATACCGTACCAAATATTTTGATTCGGTATGGGATTTTACGTTGTACTGATCCCAAAGCATCGGTTCGGTATGGTTCGGGGTGATTCGGTATCGGTTTCGGTACGAATCGGGATGAATATATACGTACCTAGTTTACATCATAAAATGTAACAAAACCTTTTATTTTTGAAAAATTGAAAGTACATTTAACCAAAGAAAGATAAAAAAATTTAAAAATGAAAAAATAAAATACAAGAAATGCTTATGAAAGTTAGTTTATATTTCACAAACTAAAGAGAACGAGTGATAACAAAGTATTATTTCAAATATTTGTCAATATTCTTATACTCATCTACAAAAAATAAAAAACTCTTACTCCGTATTATAGTGCAACTTAAACATAATGAAATTAAACTAAATTGTCTATATAATTTTTTATTTAATGAAGAAATATAAAAAGATTATTATTTTTATAATATATTAGTATATATGTTCGGTTCGGGAATTTTGGTATGAAGTAACCTCGTACCGTTCCCAAATACCGGACCGACCGCTCGGTTCGGTACGGTTTGGTTTCTTTTCGGTACTTTATCAGTTCGGTATTCTTAATTTTTTTAGAAAATATCGGGATCGGTTCGGTCCTTGCTCACCCCTGTTTTTGACCATTGATATTTGCATTCCAATAAAGTTACTAGCGTTCTAAATCTACTCAATTCTTTTAAAAATGACAATAATGTACTCTATTAATTTTTTCGGCTCCCCAACATTAATGCTCTTCATTCGTTTCACATTTTTGTTTTTAAAAATAGTTTTTGATGGTCTATTATGTATTTCTTAAACTATGTTCAATATAATACTGGAAAAATAGTAGTACCTCTGTCCCAAAGTATTTGTCCAGTTTGACTAAACAAACTTTTAACTTCAATTACTCTCAATTTGTACTCCGTATTACATAATAGCATAATGAAATACAATTGAAGCTCATTTTTATATTAAAATATTTTACGGTTTTTATTTAATTGAAGCTCAAAGTTTGTCCAGTTTGATTCAAAAAGTTAAACTGGATAAATATTCTGAGACGGAGGGAGTATTAAATAATGTATATTTTGTATTTTTGTGATCGACTTCTTTTTTAAAACGTTTTCTTCATCTAGAATTGGAGTTTTCATTTTGTTTCACGAGACTTGATCATTTTATATTTAATTGAATTTATTTAACTGTTGGTATACAATTCAAAATTAAGATCTACGGAGTATATATTTAAAAAATAACATAAAAGTTACCCAAAATAAAATGACATTATTATTTTACACTTAGTATAATATAAATAAAATTTGATTATGTAGATAGTAATCGAAAAAATTATTTCTAAATGGAGAGAGTACGTGATTAACTCATGTCCCAAAATAGTGAAACAAGATGGTCACTATTTCTTATTAAATTTAAAAGAAAAATAAACAAAACAATTCAATATTGTTATTAATGTTAATTACCCATAAAAAGACAAACAATTCAACGATTCTCAATCAATTGAAAACAATTGTTGTGTTTTTCATTTACAAGTTTGGTATGTCTAAAAGATAAAAAAAGTTTAACATTTTTCTTTTAAATTTATATACCAAACTTTTGCATGTATTTTTATATACCAAACTTGTTTGACAAAAATTACTGATATGAGACAAATTATTTACGGAGTATTTTATAAAAGAATAATTAAGATAAAAAATAAAAATAATTAATGAATTTATAAAGTCGTGGGGTATTATTCTCGAGATCTACATTTTTTCTTGTCTTATTTAACATCAATAATTTCTAACGAATTTTTTTGAGATATTTTTGAGTGACATATCACTTTGCAAATATTTTTAGCGCCTGAAGTACAGTAAAATATAAAAATACATTTTAAAAAAGTAAAAATCCCAAGTAATTGAAGTACTCTATATAAATAGTTAATAAAAAATACTCCGGGGTAAAACCTTAAAAAAGAGACTTTTACCTATAGTATTAACTTACCAAGTACTCCGTACTTATTAGCAATATAAATTTTCTACCACTCCACATACGCAAAATCAATACGGAATAGTAATA